GAGGAAGCAGAGGGACGCGGACATCTTCACTCCCCTAATTTCCTCCCTGCCTTCTGCAGCCATTTTGCACCAGTAAAAGCTGAAGGGAGGGAGGTGTAAAGAGGGGAGGGAGGGGGTGGGCTGCGGAGGATGAAGGGAAGAGGGTAAAGAGTTGCGGAGAGCAAAGGAGCAGCCATGGGAGATCCTGGCAGGTGTGTTTGCCAATACTGACTCACAGAAGCAGCAGCTGTCATCAGCATCATGGTGAAAAGGAAAAGCTCAGAGGGTCAGGAGCAGGAGAGGCATCCCTCTGCCCATCCAGACCTTCCTATGGAGGCAAACCAGGTGAGAGCAGTGAGCCTTGGTTACTTGGGATACAGCTGCAACAGGGCAGTGGAAGGGGGGGTTGGGGGGGGCAGGCCAGCTGCTGACCAGTGGTGGGGAGGAAGCAGTGACTGCAGCTGCAGCATGAAGGCGTGAAACAAGCTGTGCTCTTTGCACTCAGTATAAACCAATCTGTGTGTATTGGGGATGGGGGAAGGACTGAAGGCAGCTTAACCTAGTGGCAGTCCCTGACAGCTTCTTGATTTGACTTTAAAAAATCCATGTGTATGTTTGTCTATGCACCTCTCCCCTCCTCCCTGTTGTCTGCCCCCCTTTCCCTCACTCCCTGTTCCTCCACCCCTACTTTTAAGAGGACTTCTGGAACTCTGGTACCAGAAGCAGCATCCGTCAGTGCTGCACTGGACTTGCAGCTTTGCTTGTTTCTGTATTTGCAGTGTTCTGGAAGTGTAATCTATGCTTTGAGAGAGGTTCTATGCTTTGAGAGAGGTCAGCATGCAAACAGATATGTCAAAGTCTCACCTTGTTTCATTGGATTGCAGAATAATATGTGTGAGGGGCAGGCTGAATGTATGGCTGGGGCTCATGTTCCTTGTGAATCCTGTCTAAAAATCTAGAAATCTAAACTGAAAACATTGCGGGGGGGGTGTTGAAAGGTTTGAAGGTTGTTGACTTTAAGGCCTCAGTCTCAAAATCCCTTTATTCCACAGTTTCAGTGTCCTCCAAAAAAAAATAAATGCTGCAATAAGGTGACCCAATTCATTTTTAAAAAAATATTTAACTCTGATCCCATTCTGGAGAGGAATGACAGTAGAGGGTAGGTGTTTTCTACCTACAGGGTACAGGCCTGTGTTTCATCTTAAGCCTTCCACATCGTCAGCTGTGGAGGAAAATAATACAAAAATTACAAGTGGATCTCTGGCTTAAAATGGAGACAAGACAAAGTTCAGTAGTATTTAACACATTTTAAACAGAATATTTTGAAAATCTTTCACGGAGGTAAAATGGCTGAAAACTGTCTGATGGAAGATTTTACCCATGGGGAAGAGGGCTTTTCTTGAGGGTGGATTAACTGCTTCTTGGCATATCAGTGTGGGTACTTTTGTCTTCCAGAAAAGGTAACAGCATTTTGTCAGATGTCATCAACAGGTACCTGAACACTGTTTTGGCCAGATGTCTTCCTTTATATAAGGTTTCTCAGCCCTTTGCCAACCTTCTGACATGAGAAAAATCCGAAAAATAACTAAGCAAAATCCACACTTGAATTACTGGCTCTAACAGTTTTTCTCCCTTCCTTCAGTGCATTTTTAAGACCTAAACTGGGGAAACAATATGAAGCTTCCTGTGTGGTATGTACATGTTGATCTTTTTCAACTCCTATTAGTAACTAACTTTTCATGCAACGTGATCTGACTGGTGGCTGATCAGCAAGCTTCTCAGCTTACACCAGGAATGGGCTTAGTCCATTCAACTTAACTTTGTACTGTTATCACATGAAGTGATTTGAAACATTTTGCTATGTAGAGAATTCGGATATCATGTGCATCTCCAGACACAACAAAAATGTATTGATTTGGGTATTATAATGAAGTAATTAGCAATTAAAGTAAATAATGCTATGGGCAGACTGAGCTATGACAATCTGGGTCTAAACTTGCAGTTCATCATATGTGTATGTGCTTTCAGATGAGCTTGGTGCCACTTCCATTTGCAATTACTGGAGTTTTCCAGACTTAAAATATTGAAAATGTGGATGTTACTAACAGGCTTTAAACAATACTTTTACCATTGTGCAAGATGAAAATACCTCCTCTACTGGAAAATAGAGGGGGCATGTCTTAGCAGCATCATTAAAGAGAGGTTATTGTGCAAATACCAATAACTCTTATTTCTAAGCGTACTTGGAACGAAATCTCATTCTGCTGTCTAAAAGGAAGAGAAGGGGAAGGCATGCAGCAAGTTCAAGTAAGATGGATATCTAGGGAATTCCTCAAACTGTTGCTGATCCTTGGATGACTTAAAGTACATTAAGCAGTTGCAGCCAAACTTGACAGACTGGAAAAACTTGGTCTGGACATGTTATCTTTAATAGTTTAGAGTACTTGTATCTCTCTGCAGCAATTTTCTGTCTTCCTTCTCACAAGATATTAAGCTGGAGAAGCCCTATCTGCTGCTGACTAATTTTCTTCTAAGAAATCCATAAATTTTTCAGGGCTGTTGCTAGATACCAAATACTGATAGAGGACTGCTGGCTTAGTGTGTTGATGAGTAAAATGTATTGCAATTCTGGCACACGGAGCAAAAAAGCATCACCACTGGTCTATACCATTGGCAGTTCCTTGTTGTTCAGAGGCTAGAAAATGGAGCTTGTTGCCTTACATCCTTTATCAGGAGTCACAGCAGTGTGCAGGAGCCATGTCTTGAAGCATCTATAATCTGAAGCTGTGGCCCCTCCTGTGAGCTAAAATCTGTTACTGCTGGGTAGAGGGACAGAACTTCCTTCTCTGTGCGTTCTCCATGATATCTGTCTATGACTTCTTTGTGCTTCATGCTATGCTGTTTCCATTAGGTCTTCCTCTGTGTCCCCCCAGCTGATTCTAAAGCACCTTTCTTCTCTGAGTACAAATCAGAATTTACTAAGTGTAAAAACAAACAAAACCCACCCCCAAAAACCCCAACCAAAAAACCCCAAAAGCAACTGCAAGACAACATAAATCACACACTTCAGCCAAGGGAAAGGGAGCTCTGGAAAAACACAATTCATGAAAATCCAATCCATTTCCACCCCTTGGATGAAGGAGAACTTGATTCTTCTCGAATTTTTAACATAATAATTAAATTATGGTAGAAAGCTTTCAGATATAGGGCTTAGTTTTGAGCAATTGGTGGGATAGAGCCTGAGCTGCTGCATCTGCCACCTTCTTTGGCTCATCAGTTTCCTCTCCCTGCCAATGCACAGGAATCTTTGCCCACATCAGCACCATCCGTATTATCCAGTGGGGTAGCAGAGTGCTGTGTGCATGGGTGAGACAACGTTTCTGCAACTTGACAGGTAGTAGGCTTGTCTTCTGAAACATCTAGCTGACTGTCTAACACCACTGTATTGACTAGTGTGCCTAAAAATACTGTGCACCTGTTATGTGATCTGTCTTTTTAAAATTCTGTAGATAGAATTCTTCTAGGCCTGTCTATAGGCTGTTAACCGTCTGACAATGCATATGACACAACATTGTGCAGTATTCTATTATTATTCTTGGCTCTAAACTTGCTGCAGTAAAATTTGCTGCATATTGTGCATTGAGGAGGCAGATGCTGGAGGCCTGGATACAATGAGTACAGCATCTGGTCTGCAAGAACAGATTGCATTGCTTCTGTAAGCTTTGCTTTATACTTTAATACTGGAGGCAAAACCTGGCCCTTTCATCGCCTTGTTTTCCTTACCTGCACAATCACACTGACTTCAACTGGTCTATGAGTAATAGCCTTTAATCTGAAGATAAATACCACCCTGCCCATTGTCTTACACTATCTAAATGCTCTTGTGTCGCAGTATGGATTTAATGTTCTTCCTCCTCCCCCTTCTGAAGTTGCTCTGTCTGACACAATGTCATTCTTAATGTGTGTGAGTCAAAGCTGTAAATGACCTAACAGGAACATATATATGAGTGCTGTACAAAACCAGAGCACTTTTTGGATGAGGGAAAGGGACTCAAGGATACGTGTTAAATTCTTTTACCCTGGATTGCATTAGGCATGGAAGAACCCAAATGTTTTATGGAGGATCCTGCAAATGCAGTGTTTACCTCTTTTCTGTTTTTTTTTTTACTTGTTTTTGCAAATGTAGTAACATGTTTTGTTGTTATGAATGATTAAAAGACAGATATGGAACAAAGTTTAAAAAGAGGCTGCCAAGGACATGGTTGCAGAAAACTGAGGTTTTGAAACAGGGGAATTTTCTGTGAGTGAAGTACTTGGCATCTGTGTTTCATTGCTTGTCAATATTTGTACACTTGCTATATCCCCTGTGCGATGAACTCCTAGCTTAATGTTTTAGATCTCTGTAGGAACTCTTCCCTACTCGGACGACCTTCCCCAGACTGACAGTACTGTCTGTCTGCATTTCAAGTTCTTTCCAGTCAGTCTGAAGTGAAGCAATGGTATTTGCTTTCCACCATGATGCAGCCTGAGCTTTGGAAGAAAGCCTATATATATATTGCCTATATAGGCCTCTTCAAGCAGCAACCTGTTCCCATTCCAGCAGCCAAGTGACACACAGGCTGACCCTGGTCACAAGGTGTTTGACAGTCCCTTTGGTTCTTGGAGGAGGAGAAAGTAAAAGGAGAACAGGAGCAGTGGGAAGGCAGCCAGACAAGACTGACCGCCACTCCCTGTGAAAACAGCATCACCAGGCTAAAAGGAGAAATGCTTGTGTCAGTGGCTCTGAGGGAGCTGAACACACAGACACACACAGAGCATGCTAAAAGGGACTGCCCTTTCTCCAGCCAAGGCAGAATACTGAATTCCCTCGCTATCTCCAGGAGATATTCTTTATCCTCCTTTGGCACATGGGGTGTTGCAGGCACGGACAAGCCTCCTGTAAGTAGGTAACTGTTTCCTTAGCCAAGCAGCGGCCCTGAGGCTGCAGCTCCAGACATACCCAGAGCATGACAATATCTCTCTCCTGACTGACTTACGGGAGCTTACTTCAGACATTCTCATTCAGCCTTCTCATAGAAGCATGTAACTCCTCTCAGCTGTAGCAGCAGCTGCTTAGTTCATGTGGAGTGAAAATTAAGTCTTTCATCTTAATGTCTTTATATTCTCTGTAGCAGGTCCTGAAAGCTAGAAGAGAGACCAGAAGGGAGGCTCTAGAGGAGCAAATGGTAACCCAGGGCCTTGCACCTCGAAGTCTGGTGTAGGCAGAAGCTGCTGTTAGCTGTACCTTCATGGAGAACTCCAAGCAAATCCCATGGGGAACGCTTGTCCCAAGAACTGCATGTTCCTGTTGGGCTGCTTGTGACAGTTACTAGTGTACCAGCCAGTGCCCGCAGCACACGGGGACACCATAGGTTTCCATGTGGTAGCCTTTGTGTTAGCATTTTTCTGGCAACATACAGTACTTCTGTCTCAGATGCATGTGACCACATGTGCTGTTCCAGGAGCTAATCGTTCATTGTGCTACAGGAATGTATTTAGCTTTCTGCTCAGGCCAGGAAAGAACGACAAGTCTGGTGGCTAACCATGTAGGAAAAGCTTTGTGTGGCTCAGAAACCCATGGTGTTGAGGTGAATACAGGCCTGATTTAAAGACATTTCTGCAGGCTCCTTGGCTTCCTTTAGAGTTTCTGAAGTAAACAGCATGGAGGCCAGAGCTTCCAGAAGGCAGTTGATGGAGGATTTCTCACTGATACTGTTGAAGGGCCTGTGAATGAGACTTTGAGTGGAAACCCAGAGAGCAACAATGTGTCTTCCATAATGCTTCAGAATATTGTTGCTGCCCTCAGGTGTTTGTTTGGGGTTTTTTTTTTTTTTTTAGCTTGCCTTGCTCTGTAAACTGAATAGCTTTGCCACTGTACTGAAGTGTGAGCTTATGGTTGGGCTTTTCTACTGGCCCTGAAAAGATAATTTCTTTTGATAAGCCTTGGTCAGCACTGGTGCTTGGCAGGCCTTTCAGTGAGTTAATTCAGCTCACTAACCTGGTAGAAACTATTTACTATGCTGAGTTTCATTTTGGCTTGTGTAGAGACTCGACTTGGCTGAATGAAGGCTTCAGCGAGCCCCAGAGCTCACTGTGTGCCTTGGAGCAACAAATAAGGAGTGGCATCCTGTCCCCTTTTGACAAAAATAAATAGAATCTCATGTTTTTCACTGGCTCTTTCAGACTTTGTGTAGTTTGTAACCACGCATTAACCCTGCACCTCTTGTCTTGCTTTGGGGGATATTTTGCTGGTTTGTTCCTCTCTTTTGTTATGTAACCTTGCCTCCGATAGTTGTTCTAGACCTCTGCTGCCTTATATTAATGTGCTCTCAACTGCTTCTGTGGTTCAATGACTCTGTAGTTTATGAATGGAATAGATTGGACCTTACAAGTACTTCATGTTCTCCCCATTTCTGAATGGATCGAAATGAATGGCAGGAGACCGCTTCCCTTTGTAGGCAATGTGGCCCCCACAGATCGCTCTGAGTGGTTTGAGGAATCCTTTCCCTGGCAGACATGTCTGATCTTGGTGCTAAGAAATCCACGTTGCTGACAACCTAATCCATGGCACATTATTTTTGACTACTTCCCAGGAAGACAGAGGTTTTGACCATGTATTACAACTCATGCTCTCCAACTTCAGCCGTTGCTCCATAATGAAAGTCTTGAGTTTTCTGACGAGAACCTGGGGTTTCTAGTAGGTGGGCAGCGTGACTTCCTACACGCTTATGTTTGTTGGCAGCTCTGATGTTTATTGTCAGTGTTTCCTCAGGTTCAATTTGTGATGCTACAGGCTTAGACCTCTACAAGCACACTCAGTTCTGAATACCCCCCCCAAATACATCTGTGGAAATCATACAGTCCATCTACCCTTCTCTTGTCTATGTCTGGTGCTATTGAGGAATTTCTGTTTTAGGTTGAAAGTACTGATAGATGTGCGTTTCTCTGCCCCCATGCTGGCCAGAGTAGAGCTGTTATGGCGATGCTGTAAAACCATGATGGTGCGGAACTATGCTTGCACCAGGGCATCCTGCTTCTTGATGGAGGAGCTCCTATCTCCCCATATTAGTGGATGTGGCCACGACCTGAGAGAACAAATGTGCACAGCTGCTGGGGTTTGCAGAAGAGTGCATGTTCCCGCTGGTTAGCGTGCCATGCCTGGGAGTGGCTGGTGGTTTAGGAGAGCTAGGTTATGACTGCTGCCCTTTTTGCTTTTTTGTAATTAAGTCTATTCTTATTACCCGCCCCCCCCCCCAATTTTACAGGAAAAATCAGTATGATTAGTGTTGAAGGATAAACTTTATGAATCTGGAGTGAGGGGATTTGAAGCATCCTTTAGGTCATGAATGCCAACAGTTACTTGTTTGCCCAGAGCCTGATAAAATTGGTGAAACAACTTGTGAACAACTATGTAGCCAGGAGGCTAAGCTATTATATGGCAAGGACATGCATTTATCGGCAGTGTATGTCTTTGCTTTAGGAACTTCAGTGAAGGAGTGTGACTGCTTTTGTGACCTATAATGAGAGCTTTGTATCTGGTCAGAGGAAGAACTTATTGGAATGGTTGGAGCAACCAGCAATAAGGAAGTTCCTTAGGGATTTCAAAGGCAGTCTTATTTTGTGTTGCTTGAGGTGGAAATAACGAACTTGCTGCAGCCATCAGCTCTTCTAAGTGTTCATAAAACCATTACATCATGGCTCGACAAAAAATTTTATACACTGCTTATTTCTTGTGGCAGGGTGTGAAAACATTTCCTAAGGCCCACATACCTTTAATGGGTTGCCCTTTATGTTACACTAAACTGAAGGAGCGTGTGTGTGAGAAGAATATCCAGCTCACAGCTCCACAAATACAGGATTCATTAGCTCCTGTGGTTTCCAACAGGATTACTGGCATGACAGATTAATACCCAGCACAACTGTAAGTCTGGCTTGATGTCAGCACTTGCTAATATACACATGATACTTGCTTTAATTATTTTTTAATTACAGAAAATATGCTGAGTGGTCCATTAATTTCTTAGCCAAAAGATGTCCATATGTCTGGTGGGCTTTAGCTACAGTCTGTGTCTTTCAGGAAAAATATTCTAAGTTGTGCTTTATTTATATAAAGAAAATTTACAGATTACAAGTTTTTAAAAGGAATGTTGTGTGTACTAGAAGGTATGTGCAGAAATAGATATACAGTGTCTTTTTTTCTTTGTTCTTATATTTAGTCTTTTGAAAGAGTTTTGGTAGAGAACAAGCTGCATGGCCTTTCTCCAGCTCTCTCTGAAGCCATCCAGAGCATTTCTCGCTGGGAACTTGTCCAAGCTGCGCTCCCGCATGTGCTGCACTGCACTGCAACATTGCTCTCCAACCGAAACAAGCTAGGTTAGTACTCATGTGAGTTTGTTTTTCCATTGCTGAAGTTATCAGTCAAAATATGACAGATTGATGCTCAGGGTGCCAAATATTCTAAATTCTAGAATCCCAGAATTCCAGTTCATTCTGTGGGTTGCTTTTCTTGATGTGTTCTCATTTATAGCAGGGTAACCTGTGAGAACCTCCCCAGTGAAATTAATGGTCTGACAAGCTGGAGTCAAAGTAGTTCAATGATATTTTGCTAGTTGTTTTCCAGAGATAACAGAACTAGCTTTAGCAAAAGCCTTCCTACCCAGCACACTTGGGTTCCTTGAAGGAATGCATATTTCTTTCAAGGCAGCAGGTACTTTTAATATCTTCAGGTTTTTTTTTTTTGTCTTCTTTTTTTTATTCAGACTAATGCATTTGATTCTCAGCAGATAAGTCAATTGGATAACAAGGATAGGACAAGATCCAAATCTAACTTACTTTACTAGTCTTCAATAAATTTGCTTCATGAGACATGTCATTCAATAGAGACAAACAGACAAGACTGTCAAGCTGGCATCTCTTAGGAGCACTCTATGTCCAGGCATTCAGTTGCCCTGCAACTGACGTTTGAGGGACTGAACTGCAAATGCCATGAAGTAAATGGAGACTTGTAATTTAGCAGGTTTCAAATGTAGTGAAACAGAATGACAATACTTTTAATGGAACAATTTTAATTTTCAAATGCTTATCAGGATGTTGGATGCTCAGTTCTCTGTGCGACTCTGAAAGTCTCAACAGTACCATTAATGGAAACCCTGTGAGATATTGTGATGCATTTTTCCATCCAGGACATCAGGATAAGCTTGGAGTAGCTGAAACAAAGCTTCTTCACACTCTTCACTGGATGCTGCTGGAGGCCCCTCAGGACTGCAGCAATGAGCGATTTGGAGGAGACAGAGGCTCTAGTTGGGGAGGCAGCAGTAGCGCCTTTATCCACCAGGCTGAAAACCAGGGATCACCAGGACATCCCCAGCCCAGTACCATGAATGATGAGGAGGAGAATAACAGAAGGAAGTTTTTCCAGAATTCCATGGCCACAGTGGAGCTCTTTGTGTTCCTTTTTGCTCCCCTTGTCCACAGGATTAAAGTAAGTGGAACACTGATGGGGTACTACTTGTGTGGAGACACCTCTGAGCAGGAAAATAATGATTCTGCCTTTGTGATTGTTAATTAATTCAGCCTACAGTGCACACTGGGTGATCACTGGAAATGTCTTAAGAAGCTGGCAGAATACCACGACCATCAGGAAAAAATACTGGAAGCAGGCTGCAGGCTTCCTGTCTGCTGTGGTTCCTCTGATTTTATGCTGAGTGCATCAGCTTTGCAGAGTGGTGTGATGAGAGACATGTCCTGCATGCTCTGGCTCTTGCCTCTTGTCTTTAGTCTCTCTGGAGGACTGCTGTATAGTCTTTGTTTCCAGCTAGGCCTTGGAAAAGAAACTGGCTCTGGAGAGTAGGTGCTTGGAAAAGGACTATAAAATCATGAAGTGATGGAGGCTGTTATCTGTTCTAATCCAGCCTTGTATGCTGCAGCAGCTGAAGAAAAGAAAGGACAGGATAATCTTTTGGTTAAGGCAGGTGAAAGCAGGTCTGGTGAGCTAGATTCTTCCTCTACTTCTGCTACTGAGTTCCTGTACATTATTTCTCAATTTATTTATCCCAAATTTTTCGTGCTTGTTTATTAGCTCCACATTTTCTCTAAGCTACTGGGATGCGACAGGAAGAAATGCTGAATTCTTCTGAGTGCTACACACACAAATGCAGGCTGTCCTTTGAATAAATGTGGGATGCAGTTTCCCACTTATAAGATGGGGTTAATAACAATATCTCAGGTTTACCTTGAAAATCTTTGTAATCTCTGAGATACTGTAGTGATGAACATTGAAAAGCCCATGAAAACATGCATGTTTCAGTCATCGAACCTCAAAAAAGGTGAGGTAAATGAGGCGTGTAACTGGTTCACTAAGTCAGCATTGTCCCCTCTGTGTTTCACAGAGGTGGAGGTCTCAGGGGAAGAATACTATCTGATCAGATCACCGAAGTAATGTATGTGCTCAAAGAAGATGATACATTTTTGCATAGGCAGACCTAAATGATAGAATTCCTAACTTATGTGAGGATTTGTGTGTTTAGCAGTGTGTTGTTAAATGAGGCTTCTGGGGGATGAAGGGGATGCATATAATCACAGCTGTAGGTAGGTGTTGGCATACCACTAAAAGCTGGCAGTGCAAAGTGAAAATCCGACATGTTACTGCTACCACCTTTCAAAAGTCTTACAAGGTGCTCCTTTAGTAAAATAGAAATTAAGAACAAGCTTAGTTTATAACAAGGCTTGTGAGCTCATTATGACAAGATGGCACTAATGAAGAGTAGGGAATAGAAGGGCTGAAGAGCTACAAGCAGTCAGCTCCTGTCACTCCTTTAGTTCTGTCTGCATCATTGATTTCAATGACTGATGCATTTGGAGCTATGTCAACAGGAGACGGTGGTGCAGCTTTAACTATGCTGCCAAAACTGCTGTTACCGTGTTTGTTTGCCTTATGTGGGGATAGCTGGACTGTACCAACATTGGTGTCTCCTAATGCAGATCTGACCTCAGGTGTAGTAAGTGCATATCTGCACCTTGATCCTGCTAAGATCTCCTTGTGTTCTAGTTTACATTATGTCAGCTACTTGTATATGTAAACCAATGATGGCCCAAGTGTAAGTAGTACCGATGTCTCTGTATTGACAAAGCTCAGGTAGTGACAGTGCTAATAATAATAACAACATTATTTTATACTGCAGTAATTTGTTACATTTCATGTTTCCTCAATTTCTAAGTAATGTTTTAGTGTTTAGTATTCTTATTCTCTTGGGGCAAGAAATTAAAGTCTCAGAGTGTAAATTCTAAGGTTGAGATTGGATACTAAATGTGAAGTAGTTATTGATGGTCAGAAGGGATGCTTTATGACACAGGAATGGCCTTTTCTTTTTACAGCTTTATGTCCTGAAAAAAAACCAGTTAATTAGTGTAGAAATTTCATTTGGAAAAAGCCTCTTTTATATGTTTGTCTTGAGATTTCCCTGATATTTTTTAATAGCTATACTTGGAATGTATTAATGTTTGCTGAGCAGTGTTAGTGGCCCTTGAGCTAGGGTATACTGACCACAGGACTGCAAATGCTATCACTAATTTCTTGTAAGATCTACACATCAGAGAAATGTCAGTCCTTTTAGACTGGAAACAACATTCTTTTGTGTGAGCTTGTGTGATACAACTGCTGTTTGTTTGTTTGTTTTTTTCTAGGAGTCTGACCTGACATTTCGGTTGGCTAGTGGCCTTGTTATTTGGCAGCCTATGTGGGAACACAGGCAACCTGAAGTTTCTGCCTTCAACGCCCTTGTAAAACCAATCAGGAACATTGTTACAGGTCTGTGACTTTGCTGTGGTAATGTAGCTCCTGAGAACTGGGAAACCTTTTGGTTTTTTTTGCCTGATGCTGCCTTACACTCTGTAGTCATCATATTTGAAGAAATATGTTAATCCCGCAGGAACTGGTTAAACCTTTGAGAGCAGTTGAAGGTTGTTTCCCATCAGAGTCGATTGACGCTTACTTAATAATTAAATAGGAGATGAGAGAGAAATCACAAATAAGAAATGAGAAGCTCTCAAGTAGAGTTATCATTTCCTGTCAGCCTCATATCTGTTTCACTGTATCTTCCTTAGTTGCTAAGAAGTGCAAAGACAGTATCTAGCAGCAGCCTGACACAGGTGGGGAAGAAGGGTTTCCCAGACTGGCACTGGACAAAAACTAACAGTGAAGAGCATACAGTTGGCAGTGTAGGTTCTCCTATCTAAAATTTGAATTTTACCACATTATGACATTAAACAAAGTAGTTTCAAGAGGATCCAAAGAAGGCTTAGGTTGTGAATTCACATTTGCATACTGGAAGGGGTTGTTCCTCCTTTGTACTTCAGCCATAATGAGACTGGAGTTGGGTTCTTAGGCTTCCACGCCTTTGTGTCTGGCCTTTTTTACTTTTTAGACGATAGTTTTGCATAATTCCTGCAAGGTAGTGAATTGAAAGTGTGCTGGGTATATCGCTGTAGCATTGCTTGCTTGTTCTCAAAAGCACAGAACTTTAATTTTCACAGTAGTGAAAATGTAGTTCACTAAATCAGATTTTTCTGATGACAAGTCATTTTGGATGTCATATTTTGTTCTGAAGGTTTGTAGGCCTCTGGGACAGTCTAAAACTGAAAAGATCCAAGTCTTTCAAATGATTTAAAACTGTCTTTGCCATCTAGCTCTTCCTGTGCTTCAATGTCTGAAATTAAAAAATAGGATTTCAGCCCTGGAACTAACAAAAGGAATTAGTCCCAAGCTTTCTTTGACTGCTGGATTTTTTCCATAGGTCTGGAGTATTGTAGTCAGAAAATCCCTAAAGAATAACTATAGGAGTAAAGCCTGAAATGAAAATAATCTGCTGTTTTGAAAACATTTTCAGCAAGACAGAAATAGAAATTGGAATGAGGTCCTTTGTAACAAGGAGGATTCTGCTGTCTTAGCATTGTTGTCTCATATTGGGACAAAAAAGTTTAATTCACTTAAATTTTCCTTCAAACAACAAATTAACTCTATGAAGAAGCTTTGCAATGTTTTGTTTGGAGTCAGTCTGATACTAAGTCACATCTGAATACCTTGCAATATGACAGGTTTTCAAGAATTGTCATCCTAATCTTTGTGATGCCCTTGTTATTCTACAGTATTGCTGGTGAAATTTTCAGTATGACATCTGTGTGTTTCCTATGATGAAGGCATTTGTCAAATTGGAAATCACAATACGTTCTGAGAGATGTAACCTAGAAAAGGAGCTGAATGTATGTGAAAATAGGAGGAGGAAGAGCTCCAAAAGAAAAGGCAATAGTATGCACAGGAAAACACAATTTGGTGCTAAATGGATCTAGGGTAAAATAGATATTCAAATTTAATTTTAAAATAAATAGATTGTCAGTAGGCAATGTTGTTGACAACACAATTGAAGGAATTGTGAAAAAATTAAAACAGTCCTTTTTTCTTTTTCTGGCTGAGGCTAGTCCCTAGGAAGTCTGCAGCAGAGAGATGCTGTTTGGGCTTTTTGTTTTCTGGTTTATCCTTTCAGTGGTACATTTTAATACTAGCAATGGTTCCTGAAATGTCCTCCTTTGACTTCTTTTCTCAGCTAAGAGAAGTTCTCCCACCAACAATCAGAGTGTGACTTGTGAATCCCCTAATCTGGACAGTGGACATACTGAGGTAAATTCTATGCTAATGTCAGACAAGCTTGAATAAGGAGCTGAGGGAGGGCTTAAATTAATATTGAAACAGCACTTGCAGTTACCACCCTAAAGTATTCAGTCTCCAGGAATTACAGTTCTCCACAGTTCTTCTGAAGTTTCCCAACCATGTCTGCAGTGGAACCAAAGGGTATTGAGTATAGTTGACCACCCTAAAGTATTCAGTCTCCAGGAATTACAGTTCTCCACAGTTCTTCTGAAGGTTCCCAACCATGTCTGCAGTGGAACCAAAGGGTATTGAGTATAGTTGTCAGGATCTGCTTGGCCTTATTCTGTCTAATAAGATGGAAGCCTGATCTTACAGATTTTCTTGGGCAAGAGCCCTGTCTTACCCTTTGCCTGTACAATGCCTAGTACTGAGAAGCCCCAGTCTTTATCAGTTTCTCTGTGGTATTACCATGATATCATGGTATAAGTAGTAGTTGTGTCTAAGCAAAAATGGCAGTAAAAAAACTGTGGGAGAGAGAAATATGTTTATATACCTATTTCCTTGTATTAAAACTATCCAAAGGGACTACAGGTGGTGTGTGAGACAACCCAGCCAGATTCTGTACCTCCAAAGGCCACTGTTTCAGCATGTCATCGTGGAAATTCCTTGGTAGGAAGCGTATCCTCCCAAACCTCTCAGGAGAGAGGTACCACACATACCAGGTAAAAACCCTGCAGCAGAAAGTCAGTTAGTTTGACGCAATGGCGGAGGTCCCATGGCGGAGGTCGCACAAGTGTTTTAGCTTCAATCTGTTGTTGTCTGTACATGCCAAGGGTGCTGGATGATTATCTCAAACTCTTAATTCAACAAATCTCAGTTCTGGGTGGTGAACAAGGTGGTGACACTTGATATTCAATGCCACTTTCATTGGAGCAATGTCTAGCTTGCCTGTTGGGACAGTTTCTTTGGTCTTTTCTAATATGTTGGTTTCCTACAATTAAAAACCCTAACAAATAACCTGCCAGTTCAACCCTCCTTAACTGCATTCAGCCTCAGGCAGCTGGTATGTTTTCCTTCTGATCAAATTTTCTTTGCCTTTAGCACAGGGTTTTTGCAAGCCTCTCTCCATTGCTTTCATTATGCTTTCTCTGCACCCTGCTGCTTATTTTGCTTTAGACTATTGGCTGAAAGGAACAGACTAACAAGGAAGTGCAGCCACTCAGACATCCTCTCAACTTGCCCTGTGGAGCTCAGGCCATGGTTTTCCAGCATGGCACTGAGAAATTAACTTATTTTAATCTATCTTTGGGCAGGTAAAGATACAACCAGATTTTTACTAGTACTGGACACTTGGTAGTTTCATGGAGTAAATGAAACTGATGAGTGTTTTCAGGGGGTGCAGAGGGAGGGAAACCTACCTGTATTTTTAGGTCTCTATGGATTTAGGAGTGTCACTTAAAGTCCTGAAAAATTTTGTTCCTGTGGCCTATCTCTTTTGGGAAATGTCATATCCAAAACACCACATTCTTCTAAGAAATTGCTTCATTACAGAGACATAAGAAAAGTGGAATGGAGTGGGTTCTGGATATAATCTAGGAATGGCTCTGATTTCTCAAAAAGGGGTTTGATGGAGGGCAAAGCTATTCTCTAGGGTTCTGATCCCATCAGGAGGCTTCCCTCTGGATTTTGTATGAGGCCTGCTGTCAGTTCTGGGTCTTTATTTAATTTGTATTAACGTGAGCCAGTAAAACTGAAGCTGGGGACTGAGCTGCCTTTCTATGTGTGAACATTACCGCTCAGAGTGCACAGCCATAAAAAAATAAGCAGCCTTTTAAGGAGCCAGCATCAGGTGATCAGTTTGTCAAGCTGGGTCTGGTGGTTGCTATGGGGATGAAGCTTCAGACAGGCTTTGAAGAGAGCATCATTATGTCTCCTCATTTGCAGGACTCATTGATCAGTTAAAACTGTACAGGGAGCTTTGGTTGCCAAGCAACAGACAACTGGGGAACAAATCTTGTTTACTTCCTAACAGCCGCAGTATTCCTTTGTCCTTGGGCCTGGGTTGAAGGAAGGCTGCCTTGCCAACCTCCCTGCAGCTGCAGGCAACTGAGAGCTGATTATACCAACACTAGGTTTCCTTCTAAATGAAGCACTGAGTTTAATTTCTGGTTCCGCAGACACTTCTTGAGCAAATGGCTTATTCCTCTGATCCTGGCTAATTATCCCTGCTCCACCCAGTGAAATTCTACATTTGCAGATCATACAATGTAACGCTGAAGCAAATAAAGCGACAGGCCTTTATCTACCTGCTGCCTTGAACACACTGCCTGGGAAATAGACTTGCAGGAAGGACTTCAATGACAAATATTTCGTAAGGAGAACATGCCTTGCTCCAAGCGGTGTTGTGCCTTGGGTTTGCTTATGCCACACACAGGGGAGTATGAAAGACTGATTAGACTTGGACACACTGATCTTGGTCCTGCAAAGAGACCAGGGAGCAATGCATCATTGTTCACATTTACTACTGAGGTGATGGACTTTATTTCCTTTGCTGAGATGCTTTGAGTATCCCAGCTATCCTTATGGTTTTTTGACAGTCTGCATCTATGTGACACAACCTTGACTGTGACATGAGTTTCATGGGAAAAACTTTATAGCATGTTTCCATTTATCACTGTTTTCTCCTTCCTAATTCAATTTTTCATGTTTTTATAACAACTAATTTTAAAACTGTCAAACCTGTATTCAAGATAAAAATTTTACAGCACTAGGGGAGAAGTTTTGAATCTATAGATCACGTATAGTGACATATGCTGATGCAGACAGGCTGGTCTGCAGTTGCCAGGTGCATTCAACCTGTGGGGCTGGCAGCAAACCATCTCCTGCAGGTTTGAGTTCTAGCTGCACACATTGCTCCAATCCCAGCCTTGCCACCTGCCCCCCATTTCCAAGTGTGTACTATGGAGCAGGAGTCCTGTGAGTCTGAGTGGTGTCAACCTTCACTGCACACTTCTTTCTCCTGTGACCACCTCTACCTGGCTTGGATGCACAGAGCAGCTTTGATGGCACTGGGCAGCAATCCATCAAAGTACTTTAAATAAAAGTACTGTGATAAATGACTTTTAAAAATATTTTTTTTAAAAAAATAAATATTTTATGTTCTTGTGATGATTCCCAAATGCCTGAGAATACAAATCATGGAAGTGCTGTTGATTTTTATCGAATCCCAGAAGCAGAGAGTATGCAGTTCATGGAGGTGTGTTTCTAAGACACTGAGTGGAGACATTCAAATTGTATACTTCTGCAAGCAAAAAAAAAGTTACACATCTCCAGGGTTCCTCCCCACCCCCAGCATTTCACACCTTCTTTTGCCCTGTGTTTTT